TATGCTGTGTGAATGTGTTTGCTATGAGATTCTGGTTTTTAACGTTGGGACTTTTTTTTGGTTGCCAGTACTTTACACTATGTACTGAATACAAGTGTGTATGGTTTGCGAATTGTAAATCCAGGTGAAATATTGTCACCAAGTGTGTATCCAATTTGTAATATTATATATTCACCACAATAACAACATCCCTGTGTCACTAGAAAACTGGACGTTGAGATTCAAACACAACACAAAACTACTAAAAACAACAGATAATACACAACAAACACCAGAGCACTGGCAAAAACACCACAACCACTGTATGTGTTATTACTTCGCAACGGATAAAAATACACTGAAATACTCAGCAAAGTTGCTCACAGACTGCCTGAGCGAGAGAGCACAGGTAGGAGAGAGAGAGAGAGAGAGAGAGAGAGAGAGAGAGAGAGACCACTCTCACACCCATACACATACAAAACCTGAAGCCATGCCACTGCGAAAACTTGTATTACCTGTGCCGACACATACATACAGTAATATACTATACACACCCATTTTAGGGGCAAAAGGTATGCCATACAGGTATGTGTTGTGAGCGCCTGTATGTATGGTATCTGTCTATTCAAATGGTATGGTATGCGTACGGGAATGGGATGCCATTGGCATTACATCACTCACTCTCACACTCAACACATAATGAAAAATATATAATGAAAACTGCATTCATATGCAAATGCATAACCAATTTTGTTTTTCTCTCTCCTAAACCATCACATCATACATACTGTATGTATAGTTTTGGTGAAACGCTATTCATATTCAATCAATTTCTCGGTCGGATCACTAATTTTCATACCTTATTATCTCCCAATGGTATCCATTGATAGGTTTAACCACAATGTGATGGAAATAAAAAGTTTTTGAAATTTTTATATTACTTTTTTTCGCCACATCTGTCTCTCACTCGTCTATTAAATCAATTTATTGAAAGATAATAACTCTCTCACACATTGTCGAGAGAGAGAGAGAGAGAGAGAGAGAGAGAGAAAGAGAGAGAGAGTTAATGTGATTTTCTATAACCTCGACATTGAAAATATTATTTTTAAAATTCAATTTTATTACTTAAAGCAATACGTTTGGGAAATATTACATAAAATACTTGAAAATAAATTTAATTTCCAACACAAATACACCGACTATTTAATTGTCTCCAACACAATGACCTCTCTCTCTCTCTCTCTCTCTCTCTCTCTCTCTCTTTGATGTAGTGTTTTGTTCACAGAATAAACACAAACAATAAATATAACTATAATATAAATATATGTTTTCAAAAACCTTTTCCCAATGAATAACAAGAAAAATAAAATTTTCTGTCGGATCACTAATTTTCATACCTTATTATCTCCCAATGTATCCATTGATAGGTTTAACCACAATGTGATGGAAATAAAAAGTTTTGAAAATTTTTATATTACTTTTTTTCGCCACATCTCTCTCTCTCTCTCTCTCTCTCTCTCTCGTCCCACACTTTTACCCTGAACTACAGGTTCACAAAACTCAACACTAGATAACTTATCAATGATAATAATATGTAGAGATATAATATGATACGAGAGACTAATGAATAAAATTACATTAATCCTTTTTACATTCAATAAACAACACAATCATTCAATTAGTGCTCAATTGTAATCATCAAAAATATCACCATGAAAATATTTATGCCCGAAATTACATGCATTGTACGTAATATTTAACATTAATTAGTTACCAGTGCTTTCACTGTACACATCATATGATAGGTTTGGCATCTTTTTGTACAACAAATTACAAACTCATCTGAAAGTCATAAACAAAATGTTGTATAAAAATGTATTTTAATATTAGTAAATGCGAGAGAGAGAGAGAGAGAGAGAGAGAGAGAGAGAGAGACTGAATTGAGCCGCGCCTTCAGATGCCAACAAACTAATCAAACTTTTCAAATAATAATTTTTATATTATTTTCTCCATTCGGTGTATGACTTATAAATATATTTTGCAAAACATTTTACGATTATTTATATGAATATTGCATTAATCGCAATGAAAAGCCCATAAAAACTTATACACAAAACAATACTGTATATGATATACATGTATATTATGTATACATTAAAAGTAAAAGGCTATGATTTGGCGAAATATGAGATTTTAATGATAGCTAAACACAAAACAATTCTGGAATTGAAAATCATTAGTTTATATATATACTTAATGATAGGTAAGATTGTAAAGAGTTTGTTAGTCTCTCTCTCTCTCTCTCTTCAAAATTTGAAAATTTTATTTTTCTTGTTATTCATTGGGAAAAGGTTTTTGAAAACATATATTTATATTATAGTTATATTTATTGTTTGTGTTTATTCTGTGAACAAAACACTACATCAAAGGGAGAGAGAGAGAGAGGGAGAGAGAGAGAGAGAGAGAGAGAGAGAGAGCAAAGAGGGATACTATAAGACGGGTACACAAACATAGCAATACATAATACAGTGAACACCCGTTACACCGATTAAAGTGAACCCAAAATATATATAATAATCGGTTGAAAAATAATTCAAGAAGTTTATAGACACGAAATATCTCTATATAAAAAAGCAAATGGTATTTATTTGATTGATTGCAGCAATCATTTACATCCCTAACCATTACTACCGGTGCGATAGATAGACTAAACTGTATTAACAATATGTTATATACCGGTATATCTTATAAAGTGTACACTTTATTTAGTGTACACAACATTTTTATCGTCGGCAAAACTCTTCGGGTACACAATACACACCATAAGTGTTTATTATAAACAACTATTTAATGCATGTATAAAACAACCATGGGGAGTTTTATAAGTTTATATATGAATCGTTTGTTATTTATTAAAACCGCACAATAAAACGCCTGACATTAGCAAACAAATTGAATGAAAAGTTGTTTTCAAGTTCTCTCTCTCTCTCTCTCTCTCTCTCTCTCTCTCTCTAATAAACTGACAATATTTGATGAGAGAGAAAGAGAGAGCTTTTCATAACTTATCAAAAGATTTTTAATACACTATTTTCTCGGGCGACAAACCCTCCAACAAAACGAGCTTTTTGTGTACACATAATAAAATAGATAGCGAGTGATGGGGGGCAGGGGTTAAGGGGTATATACACCGGGGTTTGAGAGAGAGAGAGAGAGAGAGAGAGAGAGAGAGATCGGGATAAATGACTTTTGAAGTGCTGGAAAATATTTTTCCAAATGATTTTGTTTGTCAAATATTTGTTCGTAAAATTTTTATTATTATTTTTTTTTAAATTTTTACTATTTATTTGTCTAAATAACAAGAAATGTCTTATCAATCAATAGGCGTGTGATTTGTATTCACAAGTCATAGAAAAACAATTTAAATTTTATAAATTCAATAATACTTAATAATAATTAAAAGTTAATAATAGAAGTTATATATAAAAATCGTGTATAAATTATACAAAATTAAACGAGATTAAAGTTTCAGTACAAATTATTGTGTGTATATAATTAAATAATTATAAATCGAGATTGTTTAGGCACTTGTGTTTTTATATATATTTATATAAATAATAATAAATATATAACAATATATAATATTAATGAAATTTTCAGTACAAATTATTGTGTGTATATAATTAAATAATTATAAATCGAGATTGTTTAGGCACTTGTGTTTTTATATATATTTATATAAATAATAATAAATATATAACAATATATAATATTAATGAAAAATGTGAAATAGTATTACATTTATCAGAATCACTAAAATTAAAAATTATTTAAAAAGTGATTTATAAAACCAGATAACTATTTATAATAATTATTGTAATTATAATTTGTTATTAAATTAGTCTCGGTGGAGTTAATTGTTTGAGTGAAAGATTAAGGTAAGAAAAAGTAATTTTACAATTAAAATGCAAATCACAATCGCTATGAAGAAGAGATTGAAAACAAAATAAAATTATAATTGCATTAAACAAAACACGTATGAAAAACATATACACATGTGATGTGAGAGTAGTTTTTATGAAATATTATTAAAATAATTTCTGTATAGACTGTGACGAGAGAGAGAGAGAGAGAGAGAGAGAGAGAGAGAGATCTTCGTGGATGATAGTATCGGCTAAACCGGTTGAGATTACTTCAGGCGCCCCATCACAGCACCGGCAATACCCGGTGAACACAAACATAATGTTAAACCTATGGCTGGAAATATATCAGTGTATATATCTATCCATACACTTTGGCAGAGAGATGTGTGTGTATGGGATGTGCTGTGCATTTGTGTCGGGATGTGATGATAGGAGACGAATATTAAGATAGTTTTTGGTTTTGTGTTAGAAATTTTTTGGTGAATTTTCTCCCAGAATTTGATGTATAACTTGTGTATAAATATTTTTGATCGCATTTTTGTTGTTTATTTATTTGGTTTTGAGATTTTTGTTGTGTATTTTGTTGTGATTTCATGGTTAGTAGAGATACCCCGATTGGAATGCATTAAAAGTATCTTGTACACATAATTAATTAATTAAATCAGATAAATAGGGTTAAATTAGTGGCGATGAATGTGGTGACTGTATGTATATACTGTATAAGTTGTATATAACTTATAGTTTGAGGGCTAAGTGGACGGATAGAGAGGGCTGTTGGGGTATTAGCGCCGGTAGTCTTTCTCAGATCAATCATTTGATTTACGCAAACAATAAAACAAAAAGTATATAAAAGTTTATGACATATAAAAAAGTTGTTATCATTTCGTCGGCGAATCAATCGATCGATTCGGAGAAAAACCAAAACACAAACAAAATAAACTTAATTCAAAGTCAATCTATCGGTCGATCCATTCATTCAGACATAATGTCAGTCAAAAACAGCAAAACAATTGTCACTAATATTTGATCCAAAAGTATTTGAAACAAACAAACTTTGACACAAAAAAAAACACATCATGATCATCTCAAAAACACTACACACTAAACCATACGTCTAAACACCAACAGTACACATAGGGTGGCCAGTAGTACGAGCGCGGCATCGAGCCTAACGGCGCCGGTCGCCCGGCCAATAAAGCCGGCGTAACCAATGCCACAACTCGGCGGACAGACCACGTTCACACTTTCCCTCAGGTGAATCACTTTCTGGTCGGCACCAAGCTTATTAATCGCTTTGCACACGTATTCACCATAATGGCGTTTCTCGATGCGCTTTACACGTAGGACGGAATCGGTAAATTCGTGCGAGGTGGAAAATATGGATATATGATGATGCTGGGAATCCTTTAGCTCGTAGCCATCTTTCAACCAAATAATGCTGGGATTGGGAAACGACTCGATATGGCAGTGAAGGTCGGCGTCGTATTGGAGGGCCTGTTCATAGCGGGGCCGGTCAGTGGTCACCGCCGGTGCAAACTCAACCTCGACGCCCACATTACGCCGGGCCCCCTTGCCTACCGAGTTGTCTGCGATACAATAATATGTACCACGGTCATTCTTGGTCACGTTATGTATGATGAGTATATTGCCCCGGTATAGGGCGCCACCCGTGGGCAACAGGTCGTTGTTTTCCCGGCGCCATGAGATGGACGGCTGCGGGAAACCAATGGCATAGCACTGCAGGGATATCGAGGCACCGGATGAGGTGATCACCGATCGGGTGCTGTTGTCGCTGATGGCCGGCGGTATCCGTACGAACACATTGACGTCTGAACCGGTGGTGTGAGCGGAACGGTAGGTATGAAAGTATAACAAAACAAAATGTATAATTATTAGTAATATTGAATTGTATTATAAGTATTTTGTTATGTATGTGAAGGATAGGGATGGGCTGTACAGTGCATACATGAGCAAACACTCTATCATGAAAAATACACTGTATAGTTAAAAATAGGCATAAACAAAACAAACCAACCACCCTGTATCTAATGCATGGTGGTATTTTGCCGATGCCCAATAGTGGTCAAAGCAGGGATTTAAAGCAACTACAGACAACTCCCGGATTAAAATACCACAGGCCTAATAAATACAGGGATCGGGTGTTTTGGGGAAACACATCTGACATTACCATTCAATACACAATACATAGATTATTCAACAAAATCATACACTAAACGGAGGGATACACTACACTCACTGCCCCCACATATACACATAAAAACAGCTTAATATTCACAAAAACACATGTTTAAAACAAATGGGGTTAACAATAAACCCCACAAAACACCCATAGAAATACATACAGACATAGCCCAAGGGGTCAGCTAGGGGACTGGTACTTTATACCCTGGTAACTTTTAAGCCAGACTGGGAAAAGGGGTGTGTAAGAAAAGTGCTAGATAATTGTGCCCCCCGCCATACGTACCGGCTGTAACTCGGCTAGACGTGCCAATAACCACTTGGCACTGGTAGTGTCCGGCGTCAATCTCTTGAATCTTGCTGATCTGTAGGGTATAGGTGCTGCTGGCATCATCGTGCCTAATCGAGTACCTATTATCTGGTATAGACAGTGACGAGCCCTTCGAAATGAACAGGTTGTTGTTGGAATTGTCGGGATTGATCTTGGCCCAAATCACCGGGTAGTCGCGGGCGTACTGTACCGAACAGGACAGGTCAATAGTGTCGCCAATGTTGATCACCCGCTCTTTTGTGATAAAACTGATGGTCGGATTCTGTTGGCAGTGGACGGCCACTGACCACATGGTCAGTATCGATGATATTAGTAACATGTTGTCGATGACGGCCCGCGTGAATGCCATAGGAATTGCTATAGCGTTGTGTACAGTATATGCTGTGTGAATGTGTTTGCTATGAGATTCTGGTTTTTAACGTTGGGACTTTTTTTGGTTGCCAGTACTTTACACTATGTACTGAATACAAGTTGGTATGGTTTGTGAATTGTAAATCCAGGTGAAATATTGTGGCCACAAATTGTCACCAGGGTTAATTTAAGTGTGTATCCAATTTGTAATATTATATATTCACCACAATAACAACATCCCTGTGCCACTAGTAAACTGGACGTTGAGATTCAAACACAACACAAAACTACTAAAACAACAGATAACACAACAAACACCAGAGCACTGGCAAAACACACCACAACCACTGTATGTGTTATTACTTCGCAACGGATAAAAATACACTGAAATACTCAGCAAAGTTGCTCACAGACTGCCTGAGCGAGAGAGAGAGCACAGGTAGGAGAGAGAGAGAGACCACTCTCACACCCATACACATACAAAACCTGAAGCCATGCCACTGCGAAAACTTGTATTACCTGTGCCGACACATACATACAGTATTATACTATACAATACACACCCATTTTAGGGGCAAAAGGTATGCCATACAGGTATGTGTTGTGAGCGCCTGTATGTATGGTATCTGTCTATTCAAATGGTATGGTATGCGTACGGGAATGGGATGCCATTGGCATTACAACAGAGGCACTGGCGGTGGTTTTTCTCCCGACTCTCTCTCTCTCTCTCTCTCTCTCTCTCTCTCTCTATCATATGGTAAAATGTGATGTGTTTTTCTTATGTCCCCCAAAAATAAACGCCTGGTATTAAAGCGCTGGGAGTTTAGAGGCATTGATAATAAAATAGTTTTTTGTTGTTACAAAATATGCGAAGGCGTCTAAAGGAGGGGGCATTTCATGAGGAGAGGGGGACACTAGAAAGTGCTCCATACAAGTGATACATGTTAAATAAGTTTGAGAGAGAGAGAGAGAGAGAGAGAGAGAGAGAGAGAGCGAGAGAGCTATGGCCTAAAAGTACATAACTATGGTAAATATTTTCCAGAACGAGATTAGTAAATTTTTAATAAATTACTATTAATAAAATATAATTCATGATGTTAAATTTCATTAAGTTTATACATATTATTAAAAAAGTATCATAAGTATTTTAAATATTTATTCTCATATAAATTAACATCTACTATGGGTATTTTTGTTGTTGATAATTCTAATTGAATTAACATGGAAAACCAGGTATACTGTATACACTAACTACACATGAAACATTTAGCATTGATGATTGCGTAAAACTAAACAGGCGCAAAAAACTTTTTTGATTTTGCTCATTTAGCAAACATGTTGTGCGACTGTCCGATCGACTCCATACATACTTTCTCAGCCATTATTATTATTATTTTCATTAATGTAAAAATACTCTTGAGTTTCGATACTTTCTCTCTCTCTCTCCCATACATTTTCCCGCATCTCTCTCTCTCTCTCTCTCTCTCTCTCTCTCTCTCTATCATATGGTAAAATGTTATGTGTTTTTCTTATGTCCCCCAAAAATAAACGCCTGATATTAAAGCGCCGGGAGTTTAGAGGCATTGATAATAAAATAGTTTTTGTTGTTACAAAATATGCGAAGGCGTCTAAAGGAGGGGGCATTTCATGATGAGAGGGGACCACAAGAAAGTGCTCATACAAGTGATACATGTTAAATAAGTTAGAGAGAGAGAGAGAGAGAGAGAGAGAGAGAGAGAGCTATGGCCTAAAAGTACATAACTATGATAAATATTTTCCAGAACGAAATTAGAATATTTTTAATACATTACGATTACTAAAATATAATTCATCATGTTAAGTTTTATTTAAAACTTATTTATTAATAATAAACTTATTATTAAAAAGTATTATAAGTATTTTAAATATTTATTCTAATATAAATTAACATCTAATAGGGGTATTTTTGTTGTTGATAATTCTAATTGAATTAACATGGAAAACCAGGTATACTGTATACACTAACTACACATGAAACATTTAGCATTGCTGATTGCGTAAAACTAAACAGGCGCAAAAAACTTTTTTGATTTTGCTCATTTAGCAAACATGTTGTGCGACTGTCCGATCGACTCCATACATACTTTCTCAGCCATTATTATTATTATTTTCATTAA